TGCACTTTATTACAGAATTACCTGAAGGAAGATGTACTGATCATGTTTTCCAACGTGGCGACAAAAAAAGACGTTGTGTGGGTTGTTACGAAAAATTACGACGCACATTAAACAGCACTGACGCTTCTTAAAAAAACTAAACGAATTGTTACTATTTGCGCGCAATGCAAGCAATCAATGTGCTTACCATGTTTTAATGAAAAACACTTTGCATAATTAATAAAACTTTTTCAATCGATAACTGAGATATTATTTTATTCCCATCACTACTTACTACACATATTGAACTATCTTCCGTTGCGGTACGAGATACAATCGATATCATTTTTTTTTTGTTTTTGTAGTTTATTCAAATGTCATAACTGCGTGCGAACCTAGCAAAATATAAAGCAATAGGCTATCTTTCACCCACAAAAACTTCAAAATATATTTGATTGTTTTTTTAGAAGATAAACTATTTTGAAAACTGTATCTTTAGGAGACCGATTAGGTCTCAAACGCACCAAATGGTAGGTTAGTTTGGAGATCTTTTAGGTCTCCAAAGCACCAGCTGAAAGTTTTTTGAAAGTGATGGCGCAGGGAACGTGTTAAAGAATTCAATATAACTATGAATTCTGATATTAACGAATTCACAAGTACAACATTAGTTGACTAAATAATCATAAAAATTAAAGAATCAACAGACATATCGCGGTAACCGGAAATCCGTAACCTCTGCCTATCCCTATGCATTTATTATTATTGTTATATTATTTTGAACAGTGGTAGAGCCCGCTTTAACATCTTCGCACGAATCGGCCCGGCTAAATAGGAAATACCACGACCACACAGAAGACAGGCGTGAAGTGGACGCAATTCCGCGTTTCGTCTGATTTCCCTTCCCATCCTTTTCTTTATAAGGAAAGGATGCCAAGTGGAAGTGGACTTCCGGATGAGAGGATGTATGGAAGGGGAAGATATTTTCTTGCTGTGCATCCTCTCCTCCGTCGATTAAAGGTGGGCAACGCATATACAATTGCGTATGTCTATGGGCAACGGTCTCTTCGCTATTTCAGCGATTTCAGGTGGCGCCCGCTGGTTTGCCACCTTTTGATAAAAAAAAAAATTGTGTTTTAATATGCTACATCTAGTTATAAGATGTCACCGATTTCTTTCTTTTATCATGTTACCGGTCGCCAAGTAATGCAATATTGGAAACATTCCAAATAAAGATTATAATTAATGCCAATTCCTAACAGCTTTCCCTTTCATTCATAAGTTTTATCTTGGCTTATCATATAGACTTATTTGTGAATAAAGTTTGTGCGGAATTGAAATGTCTGTCGTGGCAATAATTCGCTGTGAAATCTTTTGGAAGGCTCAACATTGTTTCGACTTTGTTAATTAGCAAGAATGTCGGACTCTGGGGGACATGAGTACAATGCACAATGACTGGCGTTGCCTGTTCAAATTCAATCAGAATTACTTCTATTCAAGTATGCCATGCGAACACAATTGTAGGCAAGGCAACGTTATACGACGTTACCTATCGACCACTAGTCAAGGCGGAACATTTGTACTTGTAATGGTTGGACATAATTTGCAACTCTGTGTGTACAAATTAACGTACAACTTTATTCAAATGTCTATCAACCACATCAACAATACTGTATTTTACGTTATCAGATTAAAGAATCCGAACGGAACTTAGTACGCCAGGAAACATACATTTTTGTCCAAGGTGGAAGTTTCCTGCAGAAACCTGCTTTATATCTGAATGTTTTTACATTTTTATTTAGCTCAACTTATACACGTCCTCACCGAGGGACTTGAGTGACTAAGTTCAGGGTCTTGAAGCTGCCTTACATAAAAGTTATATATTTATTTACTTGTATACTACTGTCTATAATTTCTGTATAAAAATACACTACCTATATAGTAGCTACACAGTATTTAATATAAGCAACTTGCTTTCCAATATCTATTGCGGTCATAGAATCAGTTTATGAAATAAATAATGAACCGAAGGCTGTCTGTCACGCGACGTACCCGCCCAGCCACCCAGTCCCCTAGTAACTATACATAATTCAGATCGTAATGAACTGACATTGTCTTTGATTACTTTTCCGTAATGTCGAAATAATTTCCGTACGTATTATTTATCATAGGAGCATTTAGAGGAGCATTTGATGGGACTTATTTACAAGATTTAGAAATCATTACCTTTTGCCCGGGACTTTGTCTGCGCTGAATTATAAAATGCCCTGTTAAGTCATCTATGTATTCTTCCAGACAGTCTTATATTTATACCAAATACCAAATATTATCTACAAGGCTGTTCTGGAGGGACCACAATATTTTTTTTTATATCATAAGGTGGCAAACGAGCGTGCGGCCACCTGAAATCGCTGAACAGCGAAGCTACCGTTGCCCATATACATACACAATTGCATATGCGTTGCCTACCTTTAATCGACGGAGGAGAGGATGCACAGAAAGAAAATATTTTTCCCTTCCATGCATCCTCTCATCCGGAAAGTACACTTCCACTTCCCATCCTTTCCTTATGAGGTAAAGGGTGGGAAGGGAAAGAGGACTAAATTAAGCCTCCGGGACTCACACTCATCAGACGAAACGCGGAATTGCTTCCACTTCACGCCTGTATTCACCGGGCGAGCCTGGCCAATTCGTGCGAAGATGTTAAAGCGGGCTCTACCACTGTTAGAATCATTTTATTAAAGTAGCTATTGTTCTGTTTGGACTGGTGAACATAATTAAATCGACAGTATGTTACGTAATTATCTGTAAAATAACAATTTTGACAGTGGTAGAGTTCGCAACAGCTATATTTGTTGGGTGTGCGAATAAGCTGGATTGCCCTGTGCAATACCAAGATCACACAGAATACAGGCGTGAAGTGGAGGTAATTTTGCGTAGAATTTTTATTTCAACAAAATATAGACGCGAGATAAAGATTAATAACGAGCAATTAAAATTTAGGATAAATTAAATATCTTAAAAATCTTTAAAATGGTGTACTTAACTTGGTTAACTTTTTTGGCATAATCATTATGGTAATATTGTTTTTACATCGCACGTATATAATGTAACTTAATTAGCTATTCGCAAATGAGTAAAGTAACAAAAGATCTTTGTTGTTCTTAGTTCGTGTAAAGTTACACGTACCTAAACTTTTTTATTTCTCTACGTTGCCAGAGTTATTATAATCCCCGCCAATGATTTTAAAAAAGATTTCTCTCTATCCGAATATATTTGCAAGACTTATTTACCTAGTTTGTAAAAAATACACGCCTTGCCATATTTGCTAAGGCTACTTAGTAGTTTTTTACTCTAAAATTACTAAAGATAAACAAAGTTTATTCATTAATCTGTAACAATTTTCGCAATGTTTGTATGCAAATAGGTCACTTAAATGTGTTTTTTTTTAATTTATCGGTACTAAAAGGAGAAAGCGGAAATTATTTAACATTGTTGTCAAATTAAGATCGTGAAGTTTATTTACAGTTTATTGCCTTCTCGTGACTCAAGTCCGGTATAATAATGTATTATCTTTGATGATATTTCCAGTTATAAAAATAAAAAATAAACAAAACTTTTTGTAAAACCTCAACTTTGTGAGTACAAAAAGCGTTAAAAATTAAAACAACTACTCTATGATGAAGGTAATAAAATGTTTTATTCAAACTATGTCCAATGCTTTGTTCGCGGAGATTTAAAATTTTAAAAGCGGAAAGAAAAAACCGTTGACAAAAAGATTTTGACAAATTTTGTAGTCACGACGTAAAACACCTTGAAATGACAAACATCAACTACAATTCCTTTTCTTTTTTTTTCCTATAAGAAATCTGAACATCAAATACACGTAATATAATTAAGCCCAAGCTTTCTAAGTAAAGAATACGATATTTGAGTAACACACTTTTAATAGAATTCATTTTGGTAGTCGATAATAAATTCTAAATTAATAAGGTTTTATTTTAACGTTCTAATTTTATATGTATGCCGTACGTATGCCGGAAAAAATACGGTGTACTAAAAATAATTAAATAATTAAACGCTAATTAAAATGACCACATAGATTGTAAAATCGACTGATGGGGAAAAGTTCCTAAGTCGATACTTAGGAACTTTTGGCCTCGGCCTCGAAATAACATTGCAGCAAAAGTATCTCAGCAAGTATTACTGGGTTTTGAATACCAAAACAGCTCTACAAAATAATTTAAACAAAGAGAAAAGTTTTTTGTTAAATTTTAATTTTACCCTTACTAATTTTATAAATGTGAATGTTCGGATGTACGGATGTTTGTTAGAAGGTATCTCCAGGACGAATTCATAGATCTCGCTGAAATTTGTCATAGATGTAGAACATAGTTTTTTTAAATTCCGCGCACATTAACTATAAATTAAATTAAAAAATAAAGTAGTAATAAATACTCGGGGATAGTGTTGCTACCCAATAGTGAAAGAATTTTACAAATAATATTAGTAGTTTCGGCGCTTATTCAATGCAAACAAACAATCAAATCTTTTCTCTTTATAATATATTAATTCATAAAGCTAACCTATAATAAATCATTCTATATAATTATAATATCAAAACGGACGAAATCGTGTGCCTAACATAGTTATATAAATTAGATTTAACATAACTTGTTTGAATTTGAATAGTTGCGGTAAAGTCGTATCCTATCACCTTTCCAAAAACACAGTCCTTGATACGTGGGCTTGTGATTATTTCATTTTAATATGTTAACGAAATTTACGCAACGCCATATAATGCATTCTATCTAAATACAGCTTAAGGTTTTGTAACTAATAAATCATTTAAATTACTGTCAATAAATTAGTAATGGAAAACTTGCAAAAAAAAAAAGATTAATGGATGACCCCTACGCCTGACATATTTGGGTTCATTCAAGGTCATTATCAATTTTCAATAAATTACTTTTAAATAATGGTCGTCAAAGAAGGTTTTATCGTTGAAAGTTATTTAAAGTGATGTAAATAAATGCGATTAACGCCAAAAAGAAACAATTATCTGGACTAACAGAACGAGAAATAACAAAAGAATAGAGTAAAAATAGATCAGAAGCCCGAATCCTATATCTCTTGTTTTCTTGTTGTGTGGATTACATAAAAGTTATAAAAAAAGAAGAATGAAGAATTTATGAATTATTATTCATCAATCACAAATTAATGGTAACAAGGAATTACCATTACGTAAATTACATAATTTATTTATTACATTTATCATATTATTATGCCGGAAATAGTTTTTTTAAGTCTAAAATTTTTTTGGATAAAATTTCTGCTTAGTGATAAATCTTAAACTAAAATACGATCCGTTTACATATTGGTATGCAGTGTAAATTACATTAAATTCTACTTAGTAACGTCGGTGAATATTGACTGCAGGAAAATCACCAGGTGACGTTTAACATATATCAAAGCTGCATAGCTATAACAATAAACTTGAAATGTATTTGGCTCCACGTGTATACATTTATATGCATTTCATCAATATTTATATCAGTTGGATCGAAACCAACATCCACGAGCAATAGATCACGTATGCTATTCGTACAAGAAATGTGGACAAAAGCAATTCAAATAATCATACTTGGTAATAAAGACGATAGTTTGGATATTTTTGTACAACCTTGTATACTAATAACAGTAGGTTTCCACTAACGAAATATTTGTAGAAATACAGACATTTCTCTAATCAAAGAGATAAATGTGCATAACGTGGGTTTTCACTGCTTTTGTAGTTTGAGTTACTTCTCATGCTGACAATGTTTGGTACTTTTTGCAAACTATTTAATGAATAGTATATAGAGAATTACCAGTTTGAAATTGAGCGAAGTTTACTCTGACTTCATCCGCTTAAACGTTTCGTATGTTTTAAAGCGCCAATAGCCTAATGGTTGAGGGTACGGATTTCCGATCACGAGGTCGGGGGTTCAAATCCCGCCATTCCACTATTGTCGTAAACCATGTCTCTAACTAAGCTAGATGCCTTGTGCTAGACCAACATAGAGCTTAGTTGGAATGGTACAAGAAATATTAGTAAATTTATACATATCTGCTAATATTAAAAAAAGTATAACGAGGAGGTTAAAGGATGATTATTTAATTTTTTATTTAATTGTGTTTAAGTATAAATGCCATATTATAAATTATCAATTCTTAAAACCGGAGCCACTTGCAAATAGTTGCACTTGAGAAGTGCAATAAGCCAACAATTAATTGAGACATTTAAAATGAATCATAACGGCTTTGATAAAAACAAAACATGTGGCTAAGAATTGTATCAATTTCCTAGGAAATATTTCCGTTCAAGGGGGAAATGAACACTTGAAACATGATTTCCTCGATAAAGAAACTTATAACTATTCCATTTGTAATTTACTGTTAAGTAATAGCTGGTAGAAGCTACTACCACAAAAGTAAACTTATGTGTGATGCAATATGCATAAAAAACGCATATGTTTACTAAAAATTGTCTCAAATACAAAATGGAAATGTAAGCCTACTACTCTCGGTCACGGGCATTAGCCTTTTTTAAAGTTACAATGACACGCTTTGTTACGTGTTTACTTCAATCTATACAATACAGACGTATACATACGGCGTGTGAAACTAAACAACTGTCTAATTGCTCATGTTTTACGAATATAAATCGTACGGGCGCTGAAGAGAAAACTACTTGGGTCGATATTGCGACAACTTTGTCAAGATAATAGCAATAGCAAGTACTTATTAAAAAACGAAGTCAGTTTAAAATATTGCGTGATAAAGGAAAACCGTGTCTAGGAAGAAAATGTAAACAAATGATAAAATTATAACGTTAAATTAATAAAAGGATGACATGATAAATGAACTAATAAAAAACTAACTAAGGAAAAGAACTACAAAGCAGAAATTCACACTTGTCTCCATTAAAAACTCTGACGTAACTCGGCACTTGGCGGCCTGTGAGACCTGCTGGAAGTCCTCAATGGTTATCATATTTGAAATAGTTTTCCATTGAAATAATATCCATTATAAGAAGGTTTTTAGATTAAAAATAAATGTTAAATTCGAAGCATTTTTCAATACTTATTGTGTTGTGGTTTTCCCACATTTTTTTAACTGTTGTATCAAATAAAAACTTAATAAATTTGACTGATAACATCTGAGAAATAAAATCAGATGTCTGTTTCGTGTGGTTTTATAAAGTATAAAATTTGTGTTTCATGCAATTAGACGTTTTTAGATATAACAGATAAAAGTATAATATCCTAAAGTAATTGTAATATAATTATCAAAAATTAAGCATTAAAGGAATTGACATTACCTCAAAATATTGACGGAAGGAGATGAAAATCAGAAGAGGAACAAGTTAGCGGCGTTAGAGTTTCCGTCCAACTATGAAGTATGTTGAAAGTGCCTTTAAGAGGAATGAACTATGTTACCGCGTAACACCTTTTGACCATATCACCAAGTAATATTAGGTCATATTATGGTCAAGATAAATACTTAAAAATTAGGAGCTTTTCTAGTAAATCTCTTGAAATACTGCTGTTCTATTTTATATTGCAGATTAGAGTAGTTTAAAAGTTATTAACAAATTAAAAATTGCACCCCAAATTGAATGATAGTTTACTTTGTTCTATAAATAACGATAAACAGTTTTAAGCTCCTTCGGTTTTTTTAACGAAGCAGCTTCGTATTTAGTTCGTTGCACTAGAAATCTTAACCAACACAATGCAACTTATTTAACTTTCTCTGATGCAAGAGATGAGATTACTTAAAAGATTATAGTTTACAGAACTCTAATAGAACTAAGTTAGCCGTCGTGTAATAATTTGTTTGATATAAGCCTTATTTTAATATTAAATATTTATAATATTTGTTACACATACCTTGTAGAACAGCAATTACAAACAATATTACAAAATACATAGCTACACGCAATCACGATGCATAAAAATATTTTTTTACAAGTCCTTATTTTTTTTTTAATTCAAAATACACAAAACTAAACACGAGTACCGGGTTGAAGTGATATTTCGCGTGCGATCTGACGCGGACGCAGTAGCAACCACAACTGTCGCGCGAAACTTCTTTCCCGCACTTATAACCCTGTCACGAAAGAAAAAGGACACCTACACATGTATTCAGGGTGATTTTCTGGAGAAAATTAGAGCACTTCCAATGTCGCTTATTTGAATATTAAAATTTATTATTTTACCCTAAACATAATTCAGAAAATCATTACATTTACTATATAGGGATAGTCACTGAGATACTAAAAATAATTTTTATCCGAATTTACACGAAAAGACTTCTACGATTTAGTCAAATGAGAAAAATTAAGAGTAATGTTACTTGCCACTAAAATAAAAGAATTTCTTACCTCTTTATAACAACAATACAGCTGAATGATATTTCTTCTCAGACGAGACGAAACAGCGTAGGATTTTGTATTACAAAATCCTTTGTGTACTAAATTCTGTTATAGGTAGGAGTGTTGATTAGCATCAGGTGAATGTCTTACTCGTCTTGTCGCTTACTCATAAACGAATATTTAGCGTATATGAATAACAAATAACATTTATACACACTAAAATATAACTAAATATATTTAAAATGTTATAATAAATTAATAATAAAATACGACACACGAATGTATCATTAAAGGGGTGAGAGGGACAGAGGTCATGAATTTTTAACAGCCGCAATGTTGACTTCTGACTGAGCAATGTCCTGTGCATCATTCAGAGTCCACGTTAAATATTTTTAAACATGCATAATTGGTTTATTTTTGAAAATCCCCAAGTCACGTTATTAGAGTTCCTTATTATATCTAGCCGCAACCATATATGACCAACTATAATGACGCCAATTGAATGTAAAATTTTAATTTTATAAGGATAACAAATACATATATTCTATGCTTGGGTTAACCGTAGTCTAAAAAGAGATCAAAAATTTATTCCTGAACATACTTATGTAATACCAGACTTTTAAAGTATTATTTTGTCACGAATACTAAGTCTTCTTAACGTCTTTCTGTGCGAAAGTTATCTTATTAGGGAGACGATATATTCTTGAAGCAATCAAATTAGTTTACTTCAAATCAATCTTTAATTTATTTGTTATCTTGAATCAAAACATTCAATAAATCACAATAATGTCTGATGAATTATTTAGATTATCGTTTACAACTTGTATATTTAACATTAAAAACAAAGAATAAGATACTACGAAGTTTATCTTTGCGATCTGGCACGATTATACTCCGTGACTTTTACTAAATTTTAGTATTTACTAATTCAGCTAAAATCAATTATTAACGGTTATCTTCTTGTTATCAATAACACAATCAGAAGATATGCTTTTTTAAACTTCAACTCTATCTTTTGTTTACACGTTTAAACAATTTCTTTTATGAATCTTCCTGAATCTATTCGCTTTACGCTGTTTAACTAGTTTTGAAGGACGTATTTAACCACGAGGTTAAGCTATAATATTGGTCGATAGAACTAAAGATATCTATATATTACAAGCACAAATATGTGACTAAAAATAGAAGTTAATAACAAAAAAATAATACATTTTGTTTACTTTCCATATACAGTAATTAAACTAAACTAAAGGATTAATAATTCTACATAATAATATACATACCCTATTTAACTTTTGAATGTGACGTTAAGGCAATTCTCAGATCAAAGTTTTACTAACACTACTTTTCTCGTTATCAAAACTCGTAGTAAAGGTACTGAGACAATAAAAATCAAATGTGGGTATATTATAAAAAGATTTGATAAATTTTGCATTTTCACACTGACACAATTAAACAGCGAGCTATATACATCATGTGATATTCAAGGCATCTACATTTTTTTTTGCGAATAGTAATTACAAGTATCTTTTATTTTTAATTCCCAAACGATAGAAGTCTCGTAGTAAATTCGTCTAAACAATTACCATTTACATGACTAATTACTTCTATGTCCTCATCCATATTGTTTATCATTATGTGGGTACATAACCCATTTAGTATTTCACGAATTTATTCGTAATAAAAGACGTCATTCCTTTGAATGAAATACTAATCAAATTCAAGGGAACTTCTAGTGTACTATTTTAAAGAAAGTTGTAAACATTACACGCAAGGATAGTTCGTACAAAAACTGTTTACTGACCTGAAATCACGAGGAAAGACAAAATTGATCTTCCATATGACAAGGGATTTGTTTCTTCAATGTCTCCCATTCTTCTTTAAAAAAGCTCGTTGGATCCGGGTACTCTAAAATTTTGCCTTTATATTTAGAAAATGAAGGGGAAGAAAAATGAAATACTGTAATGGACTTCACACATTTATTGTATTTTTGTCTAATAAAAATACTATATCGTATAACTATCATAAAAGGAGATATCTACAGCAATTGACAGTCTTGCTGGTTGTACACACTCATCAGAGCACAACATTATATTTCCACTGCGCGCCGTGCACAACATGGACATTTTTATTTTTTGTTTCTCTAACACAACTACTTTATCTTAATTTACAACCCTATAGCAATTATAAAATAAAAAAATACAATCTTGTGAAAACAAACACCATTCAATGGATATAATTCACTTATTGCACTACTGAAACAAAAAATGTCTATTGTAATGTAGGCTTTAGGATTAGTTTTACTCGGAGATTTGCGACAAGTTATAATTAGAACATTTTGAGAACATTTACGGTAATGGGGATACTAAGGGAGGCCTAATTAACCGAATTTTTTAAGAAATTAACACCTGCTTTTTTAAAAAAAATATCTTCAATTTTTTTTCCGTAAAACGCTTAATTTAGTCTCGTCTATGTACATATTTTTACATACATTACTTGAATAATTGTAATATTGTTGTTTACAATCAAAAAGACGAGATGCAGATGTGGTTTGCATAAAATCCATGTTACATGAATCTAGGATCCAAAGTAACTAGACCTTGTCCCATGACACTAACAATGACATGACATGATTTGCGTACACCGTGAAATGACATTAAGTACTAAAAATATACAGGCACAAATTATTTTGCTTCAAACAGTGACACTTCTCTAAGTTTCAACACCAAATTCTAATTAGTTCTAACATACATTTGTCAACTCTATAGTTATACAAATAAAAATTCTCGTTTTAAAACTATACAGGTAGTTTACACAGGAATTGCAGACTTACAAATAGGTAAAGGAAATGGCCTACTTGGAGAAGAGAAAATAAAAATACAATAGTGAATATATTTTTACAAGACACGACTCACAAATACATAAAATTAATTATATTATTCATGAAATAAATCCAGTTAGCCGTAAATTGCGCATTTATTTAACAAAAAAAAAACTACTTAACCTATATTATTTATATGTACACAAAGCGAATTAAAATAATCAGCTAAATAATATGAATCCAAAAAACTTGCAACATTCATCTTGTGCTACAAAAAAATTATTAAAACTTTGACAGACGCTAGTGGACTGACTTTTGAAAATAAATTTTTCCAGCCAGTTTTATTTACACAATAAAAATCATAGCCGTAGTAAAAAAAATCAATATAAACAAATTGCACCAAATCAAATGAGTTCCCATCTAGCCGAAGATAATTCGACTTTATAAGTTTAGACGCCGTCGTTTCCAACATAAGGAAATATATTACAGCGTTTCTTTTAGAACATTTCGCGTAAAGCATTCATTTATTCCATGTTACATTTACAATGTCTTAACAGTAGGCTACACACAATGAAATCTACAGTACTACAGAACGCGGCATACATAGTATGTACAATTGTTATTATATACAAAAATATAACCCGGTATAGACAATCGTCGTGGGCTTTGCTCACACCTTTCATTTACAATGCAACATCAGGTAAGCGGCAGAGATGGTATCATTGCATGCACTTTGTTATTTTATATGCATATGCATCATTATATTGTACATCTTAGCAAAACAGTTTCCAATATTACATACAATGCACTGAATATTAAATATTACATGGAAATATATCCGGTCTATAAATTTATCTCCATTGCCAATTTTTTAACATTCACTATTTTTCTCCTTGGATTTGTTTTTTAAAATCATCGAATAAAAAAACTATTGCACTTAAAAGATTGGAGGAAAGAATAATAATGACCATTACCTAAAAAACTATAGAGGATATTTAGAATCCTTTTCAACTGTAGTTATTGGAACACTTGCGAGTTTTGAACTCTATAATAAAATATTCACAAAGAAGACTGTCGATTAAGTCACTAATATCAAACAGTAAAAGTGATTTCTTACTGAATACCCATTGCCATTTTTAAATGACGAGAAGTTAATTTTATACACCACCAGCATATATTAGAAACTATGTTTACTAAGATAATAAAATTAAGCAAGCGCATGTAATGACTTAATCTCAATTATTTAATTCCTTAAACGGGTAAACGTGGCAGACAAATGGTAACTAATATTTTCTTATTGTCCAAATTTTATAATACAACAAAGTAACGCGCATCGCACGATCATGATTGGTCATTGCCATCTGCTAAATGCAGTTATGCATTCAAAATTATTCATCGTAATTTAAGAAAATTTTATATTTTCTTATGACATACTTTCAAAGTCTTTTATTTACTTTCACCTCGATTTTCCGAGTTCCCATATGTTGCAAGATCTGGAGTCTCAGATTAACCAAAGTGGAATAGAGAAATATATATATTATAATAAATAGGATGGTATATCATAGTGGATGGTTATGTATTGTAATTGGACTTGGCCGTTTAAGAACTCACTAATAATGTTTACGGCAATATTCTTAAATAATATTAATTGTATTATTTTTTCACTTTTATTTAGAGATATAAAAATCAATGGAGGAATATGTACCAGGCAAATCTATCTGGTCCTTACATATCATATTATTTACCTTTCAAACAGTATTTATTGTCTATTATAATGGTTTCTTTTTTGGATTGAACGCCTCATGAACGTATTTCTAATGTTGTCTCCAGTATCAACGTATGTCGTGTTATATGAAATAATAAAAATTCCAATAAATTAACAAAATTGTACTTAAATCGTAAATATAAATACAGCGTCGAAGTTCATAAATTATCAACAATAACTGATAATGTAAATAATAAAAGTTAAGGGTATATTTGAATGGTATTTCTCAATATATGCAGTTAATTGTGCGTATCTAACATAGTACATATAGTATGAATTATTGTTAAAGGGCCGATGTCTCGATGAGTTCGCTTGATATGTTTTTAGTTTGTTAAGTGACATGATGCAAGAATTGTGTGAAGCCTTAAAAAACGTAGACATATCGGAAAAATACCTTACGCCGTAAACTCATCTAACTGTACACCATGTCACAAAAATATTTAATTTACACTGTTTGTATATTCATATTATATTCATAAATATATCCATTTGTACATTACACGAGAGATTTTCTTTTAGAATATTTACAAATAAAATAAAAAAACAACATTCCAAGCTTCCCGTCACCGCTATTCACAAACGTTTCTACATCTAGTTACGCTGAAATTAATGAGGGCTGTAAGACCTATTAACTAAACAGCGATTATTTTTTTAGAAAACTCCCTCAGACAAATTCAAAATCAATCAGAATTAAATTGTGCTGAAAATAATAAACTGAGGGACTACTACAAATATTTACGTCACAGTTGCGAAAACGTAACCATGTGTTTTGTTGGTGTACTCTACGCCCGGGGTGTTGCACAAATTCTAATACAAATTTTGTCGATGACGTTACGAAAACGATCTCACAAATATTCGTGGTAGGCCCTTGAAATGTAATAGTTTTTGTTGATATGTTATAAAAATTCATTTTATATTTGCACAAATCATCAAATACACAATTTTGAACATGATTTTGTTACAGTTATTTTATTTACTAGGCCGATTTTGAAACATCCAAATTTTTAATTTTTATATCAAAGAATTTTTGAGTTATTAAACATTTTTATTGTCTTAAAAGCATTGCACTCTGTTATTTTAATTAGCATTATATTAAATTCTAAGTTCTCTGCACTAACATGGACAATTTACAATAACTGCTCACTTAAATAATAAAGTTTTATAAAATTCTATTTAAACCATTTGGTATATAAATACTGTCCTGAACAATTTCTGTGTAGCAACTAAATAAATAACCAATACGACAAAAAAACAGGTAAACGCAATATTTTGTTATAAAATAATACAAAGTGACTAACAGAAAATTTGCAAACGAATTTTGCTCCAATTAGTTAAAAAATCAAACACAGTTTTTTAAAATAAATTCAAATAAATGAAATCTGTAAAAGATTGTATATATTTTTTATAATTATGCCATTTTAATTTAAAGGATACTCACATATTGATATTATTTTCTGCACATATGAAGTGTTTTTGGTACTTTTCCAACCTTGCATATAATTCGTCATATTGAATCGAAGAAAAGTTTGTTGTAAATTCTATTGTTTTTTGTACGTGAACTATTACGAAGGTTCAGCAAAGATAAGACTAGTATTGATAATTTCAAACACGTATTTCGACGTGTACGTATTTAAAATGTACTCATTTTACATATTGTATATTCAATTTACATTATGCTTTTCAATTTGCATTGTGGTTGTGTACTTCTATTTGTATGTAGATTTTAATGTTCCTAGACAAGACTAGTGTAAACAGGTATAGTGAAAAACAATCCAATTTTCAATAAGATCCAGAATTGATATTATTTTAGAGCCATTTTGAATGGAAAGAATGCCATTTCTATTGCTTTTAATAAATTATTGTTTTATAAAAGTTTGCGGATTCGTCAAGTAAACTGTTATTTAATTCGTATTAATCCAGTGTCGTGGCTAAATATCAAGATGTTTTGAATAAGTCTAAATAAGTTTTTTTTTTGTAAAATTGGTTACATGTTTAATTCGCGATTCAAAGACTTCGCCTACATAGGGCGATGTCCTACAAGTTCTTTTATTCTCACCAAAGTGCTAACAATTAGATTTTTCACTCTGTCTCATAAAGTTTAACTCTTTTATATAAATAGAAACATCAGTAATATATTACTATTATATATAAGTAAAATATAGATAAATAAATAAGATATCCTATAATTGTTATTTTCTGTTCAGATGTAAGCGTCTTTGTAGATAATAATAAATACATATAAACTTAAATATTTAAATAACGTAATAATTATTACACGTTAATTTTCCACTTTTTATAAAAAAAAACTCATAAAAGTTAATATTCTATCCATCATCTTAAATTTTTTTTTAACTGCAAAAGAAAACAGTTTCACAAAAAACAATGTAGCAATCTATTATTTAGGAGTTATGAAAGCAAACTGTATAAAAAGATAACCGTTATTAGATAAAAAAAATATCCTGATAGTTGGAGCCAAGATAGTACATGAATTTGTGGTGAAACCTTGAATTTGATGTAGCAAATTATACTTAATTGTAAAACAGACAAAATCACAATTTTCCAATTGGATAGAATGGGATCTACTGATACATTCCATTTATTTATCAGGCCAATTATGTATAAAAGATGATTTACTTTAAAACTAAAACATTGTTTTTTGCAATTGTTCATAATACATATTTATTTAAATATATTATGCATGAATTGTTGACGCAAACAAAGTCAAAGGGTAAAATGTTATACCACTTTATAAATTGGTATGGAAATAACTTTTCCACATGTGTAGCCAAAATCGCTGTAAAGTATTGGTATACAAGGTGATCAAAACAGCAGTATACCGGAGCAAGCATACATATATAACCTAAAGATGGTGTATTTCATACAAGTTTGATGTCTAACCAGGAGTTGCTTTCCCAAATTTATCTGAATAAAAGGTCTCCGTAGGCCTTCTTTTTGCCTGACTTTTATACTCCGGATTAGGTATCTATAGGTTGCATATGTACGGGTGTAAATTACCTCTGTTTAAAGTTTCCTGGGGCGGGTAAGACGACGTTTCTTGCGGTCGGGAGTGGCGGTGGCGTCTGCAGAAGCCCTCCTGCGTGTGGGCGGAGTGTTGGTGCTCTCCTCTCCGCTGCTGGCTTCAGATTTATGCTCGTTCTTCAAGGGGATCTCGGTGACAGGTTCGGGCTCGGTAACCGCCGGTGTAACCGCCGCGTCTTTGCTGCCTCCCGCTGTTGCCGTCTCATTTGTTTCCGTCTCCGCGGCGGCCCACTGGAATATGTTAGTTTAACTATTAAAGAATGACATTATGTCGTCTTGACATGCTGTACAGCTTTTCTATTTTTGCGTCTGAATAGTTTAATATTAGCTTTTGACTGAAGAACTCATCAACAATTGTTAATGATAAATTAAAACATAATATAGGAGATAGATAAAAATTATATCTTGGAATCCTTTACCTTTGACCGCGACTAATACCATGATAAGTGTAAAAAAACAATTTGGACATTAGTTTGAAAAGGGATTATAATGAGACAAAATCTTGTATCGTGATGTTTTAGTAAGTTTTTAGGAGTAAACGTTACCTGGTCTAACGCGGCGGGCGAGAGCCGCAGCGAAGCTCCGCACTCGGCGCACAGCGGCGGCACGGCCGGAGACCGCGACCGCCAGTACTGCAGCTCCGTCTTGCATTTATTTAACTCCTGGAAAACAATCATATAAACCAATTAAAAAAATATATTTAAAAGTTAAAAACTGAAATCATTATTTGAGTGACATGAAGAATTAAAATAAGAAAATAAACACTCGCTTTTTTACATGCATAATCCTTAAACTTTCATGCTTATCATATCACAAATGTTTTTGCATTGTCCTTCAAACCATCTCGTTCGAGCCTGACTTTTTAAACTTTCAATACATACTTACAACGACTACTAACTATAGACATTCGTCCGCATTCCGCATCGAGCCACTAGCAGTCCACGCGATGACATTGTTCCTTTCGAAGGTCGGGTAACCCAAACCCCAAAGCCCGCATACAATCTTCAATCCATAACTATTGTCGACCGCCGATGTTATAACACTCGTACTATGACCACGATTTTTCTTTTTTTTGTGCCGTATAAGTTTCCTTTAGAAAGACGTCAAGTAAAGCATGCAATATAGAGCATTGTTGATATAATAACGGTTGGGTAAATTGCCCCTAATCTCCTCACAATACTTTCATTATCTTAAATAGATTTGTAAGTTATGTGTTATATGTAAATGACAGATTTGAGGAGCTTTCAACACTTTTATAATACCACTTACACTCACCAAGCCTTCTGGTGGCATTAAAAGTGTTAAAAGACAAATGACATAGAATTTTGTCTGACCTGCAACAAAGTCTGGAACTTCCGACTTGTCTCTTCATTTTTCTTGTCATAGTCGTCAAGGCGGTTAGCGTATTCCAACGTCTGCTTCTGCTGCTCCGCGATCTGTTTCTGTTGCTCAGCAATCTGCTTCTGCTGGAGGGCGGTCTTGCGCTTGCAGCTGCGCAGGTCCGTGCGCAATGCCGACAGCTGGTCATTGTACCTGAAGTAATAAAAAGGTATAAAAAAACCCTATTGATGTTTCATTTTTCATATAGTGTAGCAGAGCATAATGAGATTCTTATAAGATTTGTATTTCTATTTTTAAATTTCGTGAATTGAATCGACTGAAACTGGCCATGCTCAAATTTATTCCAAATGTAAATTGAAATTATTCAAGGAACCAGCCAAACACAATAAAATTGCATCAAAATCAGTCAAGTTAAAAAGTCAAATACACACCCATAGACACCCATTAGAAATATACATGTCTGTTTCTATCAGCAAGTTATTAGTTATGGAGAACATTGATAATAAAAAAAAGTTTACTTCTTCATGCCCTGTTTGATGCGATGTATCCGTTTCCGGAGCACCATGTTGCTCTGCGGCGGTGGTGGCGAAGGCGGCAGACTCTCCTCCAGGTAGGGGTTCATGACGGAGGTGTCGCGGTCGCCCGCACTACTGCCGCCCGGCGCCGCTGACCGCGACTCGAACCCGCTCGGCGGCGGCGAGTCCAGGCATAAATACGACTTGCTACTCTCACCAGCTGGGAATTTATGAAAAAAAAAATGAACAAGAAAACAATATATCTATTGAAGAAATTTATAAATATTAATATTTCTTTTGCCTTTTATTTTGAACAAAACAAATTTGCATGTCATCCATGCCAGGGGCTATATCCTTACTACTATCTTCCCCATATAATTTAATTTATTTGTTACTATGCAAATATTATTGCGATACATAAACAGGAAAAAGGAGTCCATACTGTGATTATATTTATGTTATTTCAAAGTATAATTTCTGTAAAAGGGTTTTTCCATACAACACAAAGTTAAAATATAAATAACTCTAATAGTGTTGTCTAACAAAATATAAAGTAAAGAGCAATGGTATTCCTAACTAAAACACAGAGATTTATTTTCATTTACTGCCCACAAAAACGATAAATAGTCAATTTAATTATGTAACACAAACCATAAAAAAGACTTAAAGCCTTTGAAAATACAAAGTGAAACCAATTTTCACTTACTATCATGAATAGTCATGATTGCATTGATGGCATTGCTACTATAAAATCATAGTATATTAGCAACTGAAATGTTAATTACACCAAATACAGGAATTAGCACCACAGTATTATGATCATTAAAACTTAACAGAACTTTACACATGTTAGTTTAACATGTGTAAAATAACAAGTTAAACTAACATGAAATGCACATAATGCAATGAAATCATGTATGTGAATAACAGTTAACCTTACTATCTTACAATTATTTTAAAATGCTATTGTTTAAGAGAAAAAACACAACTGTTACAAATTACTCTTATAACTGCTTTAAATTTGTATGTGAATGAAAAAAGCATACATAATTATATAAGCCTAGTAACTATCCATTTCTACTTAAAAAAATATATGCCTCAAAACTGTTAAGTTGTTACAACACAACATAAACACAATCTCCTTAAGGTATGACCAATTTGGATAAGATTTTAGGACTCTAGCAAAATCTCAATTATATTTTATGTTATTGCTTGATAACCTTATGTTCAGTTTATCCATAAGCATCTTTATTTTAACATTATAATAAAGATAGTAATGATTATAAAATGGAATTTTGATATGTTTAATTTAATGATTTTATGTGGAGAAAAAACAACAAAGTGTGCCAAATGCGTAATGTAGTTGAGTTGAGTAATGATCCTAATTCAACAAGACTATGACAAAAATTGACAATGTTTTATTGTGAGCTAATTTAATACCTACCTAGTAATTGTTAAAAAATAAAACAATATAATTGATTTCCTTATTACAAAAGAATGTAAAGATATACTTACGTGAAAATGCATTAGTAATATCAAAGAAATCAGTACCAAAGTACGTAATTTCAGGCAAATTAGGTTCAATGTGCTCTTTAAAATATTCCATTGCCATTGTAGTTAAATCAAACAGCTCATCCGTTACTTTATAAGGCCTCGCCAACTTAGTTGCCGTTTTTAAATATGATAGAATGCCATACACTTCATCCAGTATCTAAAATAAAAATTAAAAGATAGGAAAAACTGTAATAAAATGAAATATAAAGTGAAAGATACTATGATACACCTTTCAAACTATTACTTGATAAATTTTAATTATTAAATGGTCAAGTCTGTATTTAAACATAACACCAAAATAATAGCAAATATAAGTGCAAATATTGAAAAATTTATAACAAATTGAAAAGATAACACCAAATATTGTGAAAACTTGTCAAATGATATACTTTATTTTTATGAGTAAAGATATTAAGAATTTAAATAGTAGACTGGAATAGGAAAGGTATAAATTATATAGAGTTTTCTGTTATTGTGACCTTTAAGTTCAGGAAATGTTATGTAAGTTTACTAAATGAAAAAAATCATAAATATTGTAAAGGTTTTTGTTACCTCTCCAGGAAAAAAACAGCAGTGTTTTCTTTCAATATGCTTCCCAAAAGTCATTTGCAATAGACTTAATCTCATATGTAATGTTTCAATGATATCTGATTCACATGCTAATGGATGGCTTCGACGGGCTGACTCCCTTCGGGGCATTTTAGCTTTTATCGACTGAAATCTATGCAGCATCTGATTTTGTAGACGTTGGAATGTTGAATTTAATAAACCACTGCAAATTGTATTGAACTGCCTATTGACCTGTAAAAACATAATTTATTGCAACATGGTGATAACCTAAAACATATCACTACTGCTATAATTTTAACTCTGATTCAAGTGATATGGACTAAATGGCAAGAATGGGTTTTGTGTTGATTTTAGAGCATATTGAAGATCATTTTTATCTTTAAATCTAAAGTACCATTCACAGAATGATGTATTAAAAATGATGTGTTTTAGAGCTGACATGTAGCTAAAGTATGAAAATTTTACCAATCTCAGTTGCGCGACTGCTTTGAATCCCAAAATGCGAAAAATCTTTTCCACGACTTCAGTAGGCATATCAAGGAAATTAGTGGTAAATACTTTGGGTGGCGGTGCCAATGTATTTTTAGAAGAACCGGCATGCGGAGAGGAGCCCCCGGGGAGCAAGGCGCTCGAGTGCCGTGTCACACGGGCCACCGTCACCGGTTCCGCGTGAGATGGTCCTGACCCATCGCCGCCACCATTGCTGCTGCCTATACTACTCATTTGCCTCGTCGAAACCATTGTGGTCAGTTATTTTTCTATTACTTCTGAAAAAAAAACTTTCTCCTGTAGTCAATAATACATTTAACGACCAATTTTTTTAATGATAAATTTAAGACATCGTAACTGTAATCGTCATAAGCTAATTTTGTAAAAGATTCGAAATTAGGAGTATTATTATTTAAATTTACACGACAAAATATATTACTATACTGTTGATCACAATCGAACATTTCTAAAATGGTGGCCATGGTAGGCTAGGTCACTTGAGCATTCAAGTAGGTATACCTACGATTATAGACATCATGATCCGACAAACAATTTTAACTCAAATAAATCACTCACTCAAGAGTTCATGCACATGTTTTATTTATTAATTATATGTTTTATCTTTGGTTTTCAAGCAAATTTAAATGTTAAGACGCAATAGCCACTAGAGCGCTTAGCTTGCACAAAAAGTATTTTTTTGTTTGTTGGAGACGGAGAGAAAAAGAAAACGTTCAGACTTACGACTACCGTTTTACCAACATTACAGTTTTACAGACATGGTTTTACCAATTTTTACCGAATACACAAAACCAGAGACAAATGTGGATTTTTGGAACGCCGATTTGGCAATTTAATACAAATAAATTAAAATACAAAATACAAATAAAAAAAATAAAAGCCAATGTTTACGACTGGTGAAAACCGAACATAGTATAGGAGAGGTGTAGGGGTATGAATCGAAATGTTAATAGTATTTTTGTCGACTTATCAATAAAGTACAAAAATATACATTCAAGACGAAAGTTCAAAGATGGAAGGCAAAATAAAACAAACAGTCGACTCGTATGAAAACTAATTTTGAATTCAATTAGTTGGACGAAAAACGGTCGATTCAATTATTTCGTTGAATCAAACCCCATCCTTATGAAAGATGGAACAAATTAGTTGGAAAAATAATGATTGTGGATAAGGTGGTAGCTATTTGGTACTATACTGTTAGCAACATTAAACGAAAGGTTGTCATTGTAAATGGTATTTCTGTCAGATTGTCAATTGATAACCTATAGGTAAAGTTATTTATTGTTGTAAATTGATTGTTTAATTACGTCGTAATTTTTATTCGTTTATAATTATGTATCCTCGATGTGGCAGCAGTGGTTCTATTCAAAATATCCATCAAACTCCGTCGTCATCTAATCATAATTCAGGTTAGATATAAATATTTATACTTTCAATGAGAAATATGTTTACTAATTTAATTTTAGACTCTCAAGATATATTTTGCACTAAAAATATTTATAGTTGATGCAGTGTTTACATTAAAATGTATAGGAGATTCGGTAATACTAATGTCGTTCTTATTTTCTTTACAGAAGACGAAGATGATAGTGGAGATAACAAGGCATCAGCTCTAAGCTTCAGAGAAAGGCGAAGAGAGGCCCACACACAGGTTAGCTATTATACATATTAAAAGTGAAAACTCCATACATACAAAAGATGCCAATCAAAACAAAAAATAAAGTTCTTTCCAAAAGTAAATAAAGGTATTTTTATCATCTCCCTGTCCTCATCTATAAAAGAATATACGTAATTAGTAGTTAAATGTGTTAAAAATTTAGTTAACATTGAAATTTTAAATACTAATTACTTTTCAGGCAGAACAAAAAAGAAGAGATGCTATAAAAAAAGGTTACGACTCCCTACAAGAGCTGGTGCCCACATGTCAACAAACAGATGCATCTGGTTACAAACCAAGTAAAGCAGCGGTAAGGAAATTAAAATATTTTTTCTTATATATAGCTTGCTTTATTATATTTATTTTAAAAATGTCCAATTCTATCCCAAGGCAACTACTACACTATTTGAGGCAATAATTTAATGTTGCAGATTGTTGTTTCGAGTATGGATTTCATTTGGTACATAATGCTGTACCATAGAATGTATGACTCTGTACTTTTATATGTAAAATCAAATAGAAACAAAAGTATTGAATGTTTTATTACCATGTTTTTAATTATTTAAGCTGGTTGTCAATTTTTTTTTCTATCTTTGTCCATCCAGATTAAGTTTAAAAGTTTTCTTACAATTTGTAACAATCAACTGTACCAAATATGTTATCTTTGCTTAGATAAGAATAATATTCATTTTGTTATAACTACTATTATCTTATCTATATAAGTATGTTGTAGAACAGAATAAATAGTTTTTGTATTTCATATCCATATTTCTATTTAGGAAACGAATGGGAAATATTCATAACCTTTAAAACAATTAGATGTATATACTGACATAAAAACATATATCAGTGTGAATGCATGCACACAGAAAGGAATGTTTTTAATAATAGTTTTCATGCATTGTAGTCATAAAATGCCACAGTAACATTTTGTTCCATTTCAGGTTTTACAAAAATCCATAGATTACATTCAATATTTGCTTCAACAAAGAAGAAGACAGGAAGAAGAAAGGAATGCACTACGTAAAGATGTTGTAGCACTACGCATTATGCAGGCTAATTACGAACAGATTGTTAAAGCTCAACATTCAGTACCCGGACATAATGAACAGAGGCTAACTGATCAAGATAAATTTCAAGTGGTATGTATATATGTACTTCTTCATAAAGTCATATAGGTAGAGCAGTAGGAATAAAAGTTTTACATATGGCAATACTGATTAGCAGTGTTGCTAAGCAAACTTTAGTCGAAATATTTGACAGAATTTGGCTTTGTTCAAATGAATGTGTAAAACAAATTTAATTATTTATTATATACCTTTAAATAGGAATACAATAGTGTAAATTATTAGGGTTGCCATTTTATAAACTATATTGAATGAATGACATGAGTCTTTCAAGCCTGTTATAATATGTTATTTATTTTATTATGTAATTAGTTTCAGGGTATAATGGACAAGTTGTTTGAATCATTTGAATCGGTACCAACAAACAATTTCGGTGATTTTTCTGCTGGCGTATTTAATTGGCTGGAAGAATACTGCAAACCACAATCATTAAGAACTTTGGTACACGGAGTCTTACGGGAACAAAATTATACACCATAGTTTTATTTTTAAAATTACAAGTTTTTATATGTTGTTAATACACATTTCATTATATTGTATTCATGTACATTTTGTATATTACAAATGAAATAAATACTATTTAAATAAGCTTAGATAATAAGACAAAAGTTGTATACAGTTTATAATAGATTATTTTGTATAAATGTTGCATATTGAATTTTATATAATTGTTAAAAGGTGTTTTAGAAAATAATCATACTATTTACATTGTTATATCATAGCAACATATCTATGTATAGTTTATATATTTCTTATAAGAATTTTGGTTTTCAAAGTAATTCTGTTTATTTTAATTACAGTGTGCATTGTTATATAATAAAAAAAATACAATGATAAAAGTACAGGGGATATAAATTTATTAAATAAATCATAATACTGCTCCTTTATTGTTTAATTTGTTTGTATGTTTACTATGTCCTTATCCTACATTTTTTTTAATTCTACACATAAGAACCATGAACGTTTGGTTAAGAGTTGGATTCTACAGTATATAAAATTAGATAGCATTATTTGAAAATTGGCTTAGACACTGAAGAATATATGGATATTAATAGAAATAATTAAATTTATTCATACGTTTTGAATCGAAAAATAATTATACAAATGGAAAAATAGTTTAGACGTAGAACTCTCAATACAGCTGTGAAATAATTATTTGCAGAGGTAATAAAACACTACGTAATCAAAATTAACATTTAGGTGTACGAAGCCAATTTTCAGGGTTCCGTACTTCATAGGATAAAACGGAATCACTTTGTTGTCCGTGGGTCCGACTGTCAAGACCCTTTTTCTCAAAAACGCGTGAAGGTATCAAGCTGGAATTTATTTTACACTACCTCATTACTATCTTATGTCGAAATAAACAATGTGATACCATAACAAATAGCATAGTTTTATTCTATTAGTATACAAACATTTGAATTACGTATGTTTAATCAAAACTAACTACTGCGGTTTTAAAGTCAACATTAACTATTCTCAATAGTAGTTAAATTAGTTGCAAACTTTTATATTCATTTGAATAATGCCACAGGATTCTGTTTGCTTAGGAGCATATCAAATTAGAGTTTGAAATATGAACTTTTCATTTATATGATTTTTAATATTAACAAAATACAATCATAACTATGTGTGAATTACATTGTTTAGCATTTCCTATGAAGATTTCAACAAGAAATAATATACCAATACCTACATTAAACTAAAATCTATATCTATATAATAATTCTAATCAATGAACGTCTAAAAATTTTATTTATATGTAATCATGGGCATCAACTCTTCATACAAAAAATTGTTAAAAAAAATTGTCTTAAAGTTGGCACTGCTAAGTTTACTAATAAATACAGATTGCATTCTGATATAACCAGCATAAATAATTACTCTATTTTTAACATGTTCAATGGCAATTCGCCTTGTTCACTCTAAAAATCTTGTTGGCATTGAAGGTGTTAAACGCGTTCACTTTCCGTAGGCTGCGAAAGGAGAGTGACATCTCCCATGGGATAGCTTTCAGTTCTTCTAGCGCATGCTAAGTTCTTGGATCTTTCCCTTGGTGTGCCGCAGCACAAACGTTTAAGCACGCAAGCGTAGCACATCAACAGAGATAACATCAGTAGTAGTCCAACTATTACTGTTACCACCAACAATATTCGGAGCTCTCCATTGGATTCAACACCGCCAGAATTACGACCCATTTTGACTAAATTGTTTATCTGTAAAAAAAAACTATTATTAATGTTTTCAATTTTACTAACAGACAAGAATGTGGTTCTTGTAATTATAATTTTCGTATTCATTTATTTAAAAAACGTTTTTGAAAGTTTGATGAACATAGCTAATGTACTAACTCTACTGTTCAGTGCTTAGATAACCTAACTTTCCTCGTTAGTTCATGCTTACTAATGTTGTAGAACAATTTAGCTACGAAGCACCACTCGCCTAAATAACCCCGATTTACTATATACCTACACTACTAAATAGAATAGGGATTTAGTGAACAGTGTTAATAAATAAAATACTGATGTATGCTATCTTTGATATGTAATTTGTTTTAACATATCCCAAAAAATATATACTTAAACTTGTAAAAAGACGTCTTGGTATCGTAATCTCGTGGTGTCCTTTTTCACCGCCTCTACAAATGTACTCCGACTGATTATAATCTATTGAAAGTGTAGCTCCGAAGAACCAAACGGTGAGTTGACGTCAGACTTACGATATCTAAGTCAATGGTTCGAATTCCCCTAAACTATATAGTAACTAGAAAAAAAGAATGTTTTGGCACTCGAATTTTAAAAATAATACATCTTACTAATATCATAAATGCGAATGTTTAGATGGGTGGATGGATGTTTGTTTGTAGGTATCGCCAAAATAACTGGACAGATCTCGATGAAATTTGGCATACATATAGAACATAGTCTGGATAAAATCTATACTAATTATGGTTTTTTTATTCCGTGCGGACGGAGTCGCGGGCGACAGTTAGTACTTCATATAATATACACATTTCTTCCAATCGTCCTAAATCAATGTTCCTTTATTAAAATAAACCTATCAATAAGCGATCTCAAACGTTACTTAGCCGTTAAAACGTTTTTAATCTTTTGGACTGGCGAATCAACTATCATACTAATAGGATTAGTAAGGGTCAAGCATCTGTTACATTTCCGTAATCGAATTTCAATGCCCTTTGTCAAAGACGCTCTCAAAATGTCATTTGATAAGGGGTGGAAAGTTATTAATAATGTTAAATAAGGGTGTTAACTGGATTGTGATTAAATATGTCAAGTCAATACTATTCTAATGATAAGATACATACGTGTGAGATAGTATGAGCCATTTGTAAACGAGTTTACAAACTACCTAGACCATGTTAAATTGGAAATAAATAATTAAAATCACTGACAATTCTAGTACAATTACACTGACCAAGATCAGCTGGTAACTTACACAAATAAAAGTCTATACAAAAAAAAATAGGGATGCTCATAAATATTTCTAGTACTGAAAGATGGTGGGAAAATGTGGTTATATAAATTGACTACGATGGATTGAATGAAATTGACATCATGTTAAAGGCGTGAAGCTTTTATCTTTGTCTACAGTATATCGAAGAAAACTTAATGATATTAGAGAATGATTCAATATTCCCAGCTGGAGCACTTAAGTGTAGGTGTATCCCGCGGCGCGAGAATGTATTTGCATTATTTGTGTGACGTGGTACTAGGAGGGGGTGTCGTTTACAAAGGTCTATGCTACAATGTCATAATGTAGTTTATTAACCCTTAATTCGATGGTGTCCAGTGTGACGAACAACTAATTAAAAAAATCTACTGAACTAGCTTAGAGAAAATTACGTAAGTATGACTTTACTAAAAACTTCGTCGAATTAAGGGTTAAAAGGGTCAAAATTAACACCTTTTAAAAACAATTCTTAATTTTACTGCTACACCTTAAGTTAGAATGAATTTAAATTGTCTCTGACAGTGACTGCGATTCTTAGTACAGACATATAAATTATAAATATATTGATTTAAAATTAATTCATTTTATTTTTGCTGTGCATTCATAACATTAAGGTATACGATAGACAGGATTAGCAAATTATTCATGAATACGCGATGACCGTCAATCGGCGAGGGGATTAGCTTCATAACTTTTTATAATTAAACTCAACTGTCACGTTTGGAAAAATCATCCATGAATAAATCTAGTGTTATTATCTAAATTATACTGTAGCATTATCATGGCAAATTATTATCTATTAAAACATGTTCTATTAAATGCCCACTCTATAGAAAATCAAAAATTATATGTATAGTAAATTGTATTACATAAAATACAGTAAAGTATACAAAATTTACAATATAAGCCGCTGAAATGTGGAAATTTCATTGAAATCGCTCCAGACGTTTCAAGTGTAAAGAGAACGTACAAATATGCATATTATGTTATATTAAATCTACAATTTTTTATTACACTAAAATAAAATAAATACACTTCACTTTTTATTAATAGTCTTTTATATATTTTCCTGACATAATCCTATTAGAACAAGTATAAAACCTTGGTGAAAGCACGTTCTGTTGGAAATATAATTAATATTGTGTTCCGTTTCATCAAAATGCTTTATAATAACTTATGCATAAATGTTTTGAATAATATGATGTATAATATATTAAGCAAGTCACATAACGGACTAGACTTGACACAAAATGGACTTTTATTTCACCTATTTTATTAAATTAAATGAAATTATTAAATTTTAATTGAAGCGCATGTCGAATTACAAACCATCCTTACGCCGATGGTTTATAACGCGATTCGATTCGATATCAATTAACTTTTAAAGCTATGAAATGTTACATGAATTTTATACGCAAATTCCTAACTATCTAAAAATGTGAAGCAAGAAAGGGAACAGCTATCTTGAATACAAAGAAAATATATATATATATATATATCAGAAATCCTATTAATATAAATTTATTGGAAAAAAAATTGTGGTAATTTCAAAGTTCGTAATGTAATAAATATTTCTTTTCATAGTGTTGAATTACTCTTAAGATTCTATAGAATACAATGATTCTATACACGCCGTTCATAAATTGAATTACTTTCAACAAAAAGTTTTTATCGCTGGTTTTTTAAGTGCCTTTATGTTACGTTGAGAGAAAATAGGTTATTAGTTTCTTTCTCACATAAAAATGAGTACATTCATAACGTACATGTATAAATTTTAGCAGATTTTGTTTTAAATTCAAGTTTAAAGAGCTAAATGTAAGTTATTTTTATAAAAGAAAATATTATCTGTCTTTCTATGTACAAAGGCATAGAAAGATAAAAAAAACAAATTCATGAATATTTATTTTTTACTGTAGCAAATGTAGAAATTCTTTTGCCCGCTATTTTATAACTTAGGACTACTACTATCATTTATTTTCTTCTCTCTCAAAATCACATTTTACTTTAAATTATTTCATTAATTTTATCAATTTTTGTCACCGGTGCTACAGATGGATATTTCAGGAAACATTAAAATAAACGTAACAAGAATGTTAGATTAAAATTCGTAGCTCGTAGCAGTCGTAGCGTTATGGCTACGCGTACCTTACAATCTCGGCGATAAGATTTATGTAAAATACTTATAACT